CCACATAGACTAAAGAAAGCCAGGTTCCTCACTGATATTTCAGAGCATTTTGAAATGCAGGTGTATCTCTGGCAACCTGAAATGAGTCCCGTTGCTGTTGGAGGGAATGAATCTCTTTGCAGTAGGCCCAAGGGCAGATCAGTTCTTGTCCCTTTCATTCATGCAAGTATTACTAACATGAACTGACTTGCTCTGAATGTTTGGGCGTAATAGAAAGAGACCATAGGGTATATAAAATAGAGAAGAGTCTCTATTTGAAGCCTGCCATCTTAGCGTTCTGTGGAACAGACCACAAACCAGACCTTTATCATTTGCCATATTTCCCGTTAGGTCCTCGATGCTGCGTATCCCAAGGGCTGAATGTTATGGCTAATTACATTCTGTTCAAAATTTCTAATTTCTGGAACCTGCACAATGTACATAAATCTGTCTGTTAACCTGTAACAAAACCAGGCTTAATACCTAACCTCGACTATCCAAGGAGTTCACTGATAAGTTGACCTAAGCATTCTTTTAATAGATGTCTGAAACAATTACATAGATGATTCTAGCACATTCTACACTTTAACTGGAGGTGATATCTTTATTCCTGCTTATATGTAGAGAAAAATGACTAGATGTCATCTCTCCACATATTATATAGATTGTAATTATCCTTCATGTTCCATGTTTTCTGAAAATGCTAATTTAGGTTATGTTATTTTTGTAATTGTGCCACACCACAACTCCAACCCACTTTTGCTTTACCAAAAAATAAGTGTGCCCATTTTTTGTGAGACCAAGCAATGTATCAACGTGTCTTATCTCCTGGGATTGTAGCAGTGTCAGAAGAAACACACACAGAGAAGAATAAAGAAGAGAGCAAGTTTACATTACTTTCAATAATTCATTAAACACATAATGATTTGGTGCCTACTAGTGTTAGGGATTGGGATTTCCATGCTGAGTAAATCAGACACCTCCTTACCCATGTGGCAAACACACTAAGATCCATTCGGCACTGAAATAAACAAGTAAATCAAACAGTTACTGACTGCTGGAAGTAACAGTTGATAGTTTGTAAGAAGGATTCTACATTCTGTGCTAGAATCTGTACTGTACTGCCTCTGGATGACATCTCCTTTAATGAGCATTGGTGCAGAAAAAGGGCACAGAAACTTACCAAGAGGAGAAGGAAGATTGGCTGGTTCAGAAAGACAAGCCCCTCATCCTTTATGTCTTGACTCACCCCTTCCACAGCCCCAGAGGGTAAAATACAAATGCTTATTTTCATGGGGAATTGCAAGTCAAACAGTAAACAGAATCTTCAGCATGGGATTGCAACAAATGAGAGTGATCTATGGTGACTTGTGCCACATGGAACTCTCACCCAGAGGTCACCTTAGGATTCTGGGAAGGCCCACAGGGGAACATGCATTCACAGGCCAAAATCTTGGGCATCTGAACAAAGAACTGCCATGAAAGAAAAGCAGCAAGCCATCTGATACAAGGTCTTTAAAATATAAAATGCTGATCTGCTTTTTGTAAGTATAGATCTGTTGTCATTTTCTGGAATTCTATATAAATGGAATAATTTAAAAAGATACATTGTTTTTTTGTGTCTGGCTTCCATTACCCAAAATAGATTTTGAGATTCATCCATCCTGTTGCTCTACTAGTAGGTTATTTTTGGTACTAGCAAGAGTGATCACGGGAAGAAAGAAGGAAATAAAGAAAGAGAAGGCAAGAAAGAAAGTAGGAAAGAAACAAACAATGGAAGGAAGGAAGGAAGAAGGAAGGAAGGAAGGAAGGAAGGAAGGAAGGAAGGAAGGAAGGAAGGAAGGAGAGAGAAAAAGAAAGAAAAGAAAGAAAGAAAGAAAGAGAGAGAGAGAGAGAGAAAGAAAGAAAGAAAGAAGGAAGGAAGGAAGGAAGGAAGGAAGGAAGGAAGGAAGGAAGGAAGAAAAAAGAAAGAAAGAAAGAAAGAAAGAAAGAAAGAAAGAAAGAAAGAAAGAAAGAAAGAAAGAAAGGGAGAAGGAGATGTACACAAATGAAACTCTGAATGAAGAAAAAGGAATCATTACAGACACAGAAGAGCATCAACAAAAAGAAACAATATTTTCAACCATTGAATGCTAACAAATGTGAAATCCTAGATAAAACAGGTAGGCTTCACAGGGCACCTGGGTAGCTCAGGTCAGTTGAGCATCTGACTCTTGATTTCAGCTCAGGTCATAATCTCACAGTTCATGGGTTTGAGCCCCACATCAGGCTTTGTGCTGACAGCATGGAGGCTGCTTGGGATTCTCTCTCTCCCTGTCTCTCTCTGGCCCTCCTCTGCATACACACACTCTCAAAAATAAATAAACATTAATTTTTTTAAATATATTTTTTAATGTTTTATTTATTTCTAGGAGAGAGAGAGAGAGACAGCGTGAGCAGGGGAGGGTCAGAGAGAGAGGGAGTCACAGACTGAAACAGGCTCCAGGCTCTGAGCTGGCAGTCAGCACACAGCCCGACGCGGGGCTCGAACCCACGAACCACGAGATCATGACCTAAGCGAAAGTCGGACGCTTAACCGACTAAGCCACCCAGGCGCCCCATAAACATTAATTTTTTAATGGGTAGGCTTTAGAAACATATATAGTATCAACAACTGGCACAAAACTATATGTAGACTTTTAATAAACCAATTAAAGACATTGAAATAGTATTGAAAACTTCTCCATCCTTAAAATCACAGACCTTCATAATTTAATGGCAAATATTACTAATTTAAAAAATTAATTCTCATATTATGCAAGATAGAAAGTAGAAAAGAACTACAGCTGCACATTTTATTTTTTGAATCTAGTGTGACCTTGAATGACCTAGAATGACAACAGAATACAATTATAATTTCTACTGCGAATATAGATAGAAAAATCATTAAGTAAAATATCAGTTAACAAAATACAGTAGCAAATGAAATAGAGTGGGTTATAACCAAGTTTTAACCCAGGAAGTCCAAGATGGTTTAAAATAGAAATGTAATTAGTTTATTAATTATACTCAATTAAAAAGAAATTATAAGTATTTATATCAAAAAACATACTACCCCCCTCAAAATCTAATTATCTGATAATGTTTCATACCTTATTAAAAACTACACTACAGTTTAGTGTAGCTAAACTGCCCTAGCTCAGTCGGTTGAGCATCCAACTTCAGCTCAGGTCATGATCTCACATCTTGTGAATTAGAACCCCACATCAGGATCTGTGCTGACAACTCGGAGCCTGGAGCCTGCTTTGGATTCTGTGTCTCCCTCTCCCTGCCCCTCCCCCATTTGCACTGTGTCTCTCTCTCTCTCTCAAAAACAAACATTAAAAAAATTTTTTAAAACTACAGTATAAACTAAGAATGGAAAAATGAACCCCCTTAGCTCTGCATAGATTTTATAATGATAGAATATAGATATACAGATAGATAGACATAAGACAAATCTAGGACACAATTATATGCTTAGTAGGAAGCTGTTAGAGACATTCCCTTCAAAATCCAGAATAGTAAGATGTCGCCTATCTCCTGTACTATTTAGCAGGGTGCTGAAATTCCTGGCCAATGTTAAAAGAAAAACAAAAAAGGCCTCTACATTCTGAAGGAAGAGATCGAACCACCAGCAATTCAAGACAATATGATCACCTTTTGAAGTGTAAAAAACAACTGAAACCACTAACAACCTCTTCAAACTAATTAGGCCAGAAATGTTTCCATTCGTTTAATTATAAAATGTTGTGTGCTGGTAATTTTAATTCAGAAAACATAAAATACTATTTAGTGAAGCGATAGGATTACAAAGGACCTCAGAAGTTATGAACCAAGAAAATGCATTAAACCCATAGAAAAGACTTTGCAACCACATGGAAATGGCAGTTGAAAGAATAGATGAATAACTATTTCACTAATTATTTTGAAATATAAATTCTTATGAAATTAATCTATAAATACAATGTCAGTTAAGTATATGGTTGGAGGCTCTACTTTTATTTATTTATTTTTTAAAAGTTTGTTTATTTTGAGAGAATTAGAGAGAGCACAAATAGGGAAGGAGCAGAGAGAGAGATGGAGAGAGAAAGAGAGAGAAGCCCAAGCAGGATCTGTGCTGCCAGCATGGAGCCCAACATGGGGATCGAACCCCCCAACCATGGGATCATGACCTGAGCCAAAAACAGAGTCAGGCACTTAACTGACTAAGCCACCTAGACATCCCATGGTCAAAGGTTTTAAATATGTCAGTAATCTTTATATACATGCAGTAGGTTCACAGATAGCTAATTAACCTGGATGAGATTGGTGAGAAGGAGGGGGCATAATTGATCAGATTTAAAATACACTGAAAGCTATAGTATTACAAAAAAGCATATTATCATTGAAAAAAGATATACATGGAACAGAGTAGACATATCAGAGAGATATATCAGTATGAGACAGCTCAGATACAAAACCAGGTGTACATGAAAATAATTTATTTCGAAGTTTTATAATTCATTAGGGGACAGGTATATTAGTAAATATTGTTGAGAAAATCTGGAAAAATCAAACTGGATTCCTATCTCTTGTCTTGTATTACTTTATGTCAAAATGATTAAGGCATCAAATGTTAAAGGTAACATCTTTCCAGAATGAAAATCTCCAGTTCTATGCTAGAAAGAGAGTGGCAGCTGGTGGGGTGTGGAGAGCATGGGCGGGGTGTGGAATTTCCATATTTCTACACTCCCAGTGGATCATTTGACATCTGTTTCCCATCATTTATTTCACAGCCCTACTTCCGAAGTACTTGATACCTTTCAGCTCTCAGCCTTTCGGAGATTCTTTTTTTGTTTTTGTTTTTGTTCTTTGAAGTTTATTTATGTTGAGAGAGAGAGTGTGTGTGAGCAGGGGAGGAGCAGAGAGAGAGGGAGAGAGAATCTGAAGCAGGCTCCATTGTTAGCACACAGCCTGACAAACGGCTCAAATTCCATGACCCTGAGATCATGACCTGAGCTGAAATCAAGAGTTGGATGCTTAACTAACTGAGCCATCCAGAACCCCATTTCTTGGATTCTAAGGTATGCTTCTTTTGGTCCCCTACAAAAACTAGGTTTCAATTTTCTCTGTACTGAAAAGGCACCCCTTGGCATCCTTCCCCAATATCTCTCCTGACAGGAGTTATTTCTCTAAATATGTTTTTAATGATTACAAAATCAGATAACTTATTACATAAAATATTAAAGGTTGTCAACTTTAGACAGATTACTTTAAAATGTTATCAATGAAGAGATTTCAATATTGGCCACCCCATGTTGGGATACTTCCATTTGAATTGGATTACAATTCAGAAATAATTTTTTTAATGTGAGATTCATATGCATTTTGAAATCCTGGGTAAGGTACGTCAATGTCTTTTCATATTTATTGAACTCACTAGAATATTAAAATGCTCTAGGACAGCTGGGTAATCAGCATAGATATTATATTCTTGTCAAACAACTACCCAGTACTGATTTTACTTAGGAGTGTAAAAATTCTACTAAAAATATCTGCCCCACTTTTTCATTATAACCTCATATGACATAGATATGCATGCCAAGTAAAATATCTCTCCATGGGGGTAATCGTTATCATGAATATAATATAAACTAATTGTTAAGCTGGGTTTCTGACTGACACTGAAGTAACTTTGAAAACTTCATGATTTCAAAAGCATAATTAGAGTCAGCTGACTTGCACCATTATTAAATTTAGCTTTAAAATGCTACAAATAGAAGAGAAAAAACATCAAATAACTGAAGTTATGGAACACTCCCTCTTTCAAATTCAATTGCTTTTAATTACCTTGTCTGACAAAGAACTAATCAAGATCACAGGCTCACCATCTCACAATCATACATGCCTCTCCCAATTAGGGCAGAATATCCTGTCAGAGATTTGTCGTCTTCTATTTTGTGCCTACTCCTCCCCTAACACATAGCCAGAATGCCAAGAACTGACATTAAACACCACAGTTTCATGTTTTGGGGGGTCGTTTTTTCCATTTCTAATACTTGGGGAAAGAGAGGAAGCACACGTTATGATATCTGAATTATCTCTGAAGAGTTACTTTTTATGCTAACTTTTCAAAAGCATTAGGCTTCCAGTCTATTCCTTCTAGGATTTTATCTAGTCAACCTTGTTCCTATGTTCTGAGTGTGCTGCGGAAACAAAAAAAGCACACAGTATGATTTTTAAAAATGTTATTTAAAAAAATTTTTAATGTTTTATTTATTTCTGAAAGAGAGAGAGAGACAGCGTGAGCAGGGTAGGGTCAGAGAGAGAGGGAGACAGAATCTGAAGCACAGAGCCCGACGCGGAGCTTGAACCCACAAACCGTGAGGTCATGACCTGAGCCAAAGTCGGACGCTTAACCGACTGAGCCACCAGGTGCCCCAAAAAACATCTTATGTTACAAAGTCTTGTTATATAAGACAATGTGTCTAGCCCTTAAGACTCAGTCTTAATACTCACATATGGCATCTAAGTGGGTAAAATTATTGTTCCCACCTGACAAACAGGGCCGTGAAGCCTGCATAAATTAAATTTGCACAGGAATTCACACTGCAAGGAAATGTCACACCAGACCTCAAATATTGATTTATGACTCAGGGCCCCTTGAATCTGTGTACTTGCCTGTCCCCCCTTCAATCATAACCATTTTCATGAGCCTGCTTACTGCTGATAGTGCTGGTAACAGTACCATTAATGATCGTTTTGTGTGATCTCCTTATAGGAATGCACATTTGTGCACACCCACATGTGTACCCATGTACATCTCTGTGTGTAATGTCCTACAGGATATATTATAGACACATGTGTTATAAACTGTCAGTAAAGCACTGATCTGAAATATTTCAGTTCTTTACTGGGTGTGCATGCATGCCCCCATGAAGGACTTTCCTTAAGAGATTTTTCTTCCCTTCATTTTGTTTTTACAGTTTAAAATTTACTTAGAAGACAGTTCTTTTTTAACAAAATGTAGTGAAACATATCCAGATAAAGACATGAATCTACACATTCCTTCTGAATGATTGAGACCTAAAAAAGAAATACGCAAGGTGACATTTTCAGCAATAGTGAAAAAAAGATCTCACTGACAGACCTATTAACATCTAAAATATAAAATGGATATACTGTATATATATATATAAAAAATCATTGTTCCTTTCAATTTCGTGGCAACTAATAATTACTTCTTTTTTGTTCATAATTTTCTCATGTTAAAATTATGTGGGGCTCCTGGGTGGCTCAGTTGGTTAAATGTCTGACTCTTGATTTAGCTCAAGTCGTGATCTCCTATTCTGTGGGATGTATCCCCGCATCAGGCTCTGCATCGACAGCACGGAGACTGCTTGGAATTCTTTCTCTTTCCCTCTCTCTCTGCCCTTCCCCTGCTTGCTCACTCTCTCTCTCAAAAGAAATAAACATTCAAAATATAATATATATATTATATTTTATATATATATATATATATATATATATATAATATGTTTGATAAGGACAAGTCAGTCTGCTGGGTTCTTCCACAAAGAATTACAATTAACATTTGCTTTTGGGAAGTTTACAGTCTACCTGAGTAAGTAAACTTAGAAGCAGGAAACAACATAGATCCCCCACCATCCTCAAAAGTGGTTCTGTGGTCTGACAGCCCTGCCTCCACACTGTGGCCCATTTCTCTTGACTTCCACACCAGCATTTTAACTAAAAGGTCCCTACAAACATTACTCATGATCATTTGCTGGCACAATTTCAAATACCTCCTAGTTATTTACAATTCTCACACTCTAAACCATGTGGGGTTTTAGACCACAACCTGTTAAAAAATTATAGACTTACCTGTTTAAAAACAGTATTAGAGGGGTGCCTGGGTGGCTTAGTCGGTTGAGCATCTGACTTTGGCTCAGGTCATGATCTCCTTGTTCATGAGTTCAAGTCCCGCATGAAGCTCTGTACTGACAGTGGAAAGCCAGCCTGGGATTCTCTGTCTCTCTCTGCCCCTCCTTGACTTGCTCTGTCTGTCTGTCTCTCTCTCAAAATGAATAAATAAACTAACTAAACAAACAAGCAAATAAAAACAGTATTAGATTTATAGAAAAATATATAGCAGACAGCAGAGAGAGTTCTAATGTATCTTCCTACACACATGCACGATTTCCCCTGTTACATAAGTAGGGTGCATTTATCACAATTAATGAGCCTATAGTGACATATTAAATAAAGTCCATAGTTTACTGGGATTTTTTTGTTTTAACTACTATTCTTTTTCTGTTATTGCATCTCTTCCAGAATGCCACATTATGTATGGTTTTCAAGAATCCTTAGGCTCCGATGGGCTGTGACATTTTCTTAGTCTTTCTTTGTTTTTGATGACCTTGATAGTTGTAAGGACCCGTGTTTTTTGTAGGATGCCTCCCTGCTGGATTTGTCTAGTGTTTTTCTCATGACTAGAGTAGGTTTTGGGTTTCTGGAAGGATGAACGGAGAGATAAATTGTCATTTTCATTATGGCATTCCAAGTTTACATACAATTTTTTAAATGGTTATTTATTTTTGAGAGAGAGAGACAGAGCGAGCAGGGGAGAGGCAGAGGGAGAGGCAGACACAGAATCTGAAGCAGGCTCCAGGTTCTGAGCTGTCAGCACAGAGCCTAACGCAGAGTTCTAACTCACGAGCCTCGAGATCATGACCTGAGCTGAAGTCAGATGCTTAACCGACGGAGCCACCCAGGCACCCCCAACTTTACATACGATTAACCAGATTTCTGACTGCTGATGGGGATATTGATCACCTGGCAGAGGTAGGCTGTCAGGTTTCTCCACCATTGTTGCTTTCATTTGCCCCTTTTCTAGGACTTGCCTCTGAGAAAGGAAGTAGCCTATGTGCAATCAGTGTACAAGGACGTTGAAGTTATGCTCACCCTCCTTTTTGGATCAAGTCTCTACATGAGGTATCTGTAATTATTTTGCATGGGAGATTTGTCTGTTTCTCTTGTTTATCAGTTTATTGCATTATTTGTTTATATCAGCATGGGCTCACAGATACTTATTTTAGTCTCTACTTTACAATCCAGGATGACTTCAATTATTTCATTGCTCAAATTTGTCCTGATCTGGCTGTTAGATCTTTCAGTTGGCTTCTATACCTATTTTGATATGCCTTCATCAAAATATGTGTGTGCATGCATGCATTTGAGCACTCCCTTACATCCTGGCACTGAAAGATATCCCAGACTTACCTTGTGTATTTCCTGTCTTAAAAGAAGTCATTTCTCCAAGGAGTTTTGCTTCCTTTTTGTCAGAGAATGGTATTCGAGAGCAAGATCTAGATGCTCCTTGCTTGCTAGTGTATCATTTCTTCTAGGTGTCCTAAGCTGGCAGAGCAAAAAAACTATATGTGTGTATCATAACCTGTGTAAGTACACATATCTGTAAATACTTCTACATGTAGTCATCTGTATCTATGCTGTGGTAAATAGGAGTTCTGATGTCTCCAACTCAAATCTATATCTACAGATTTCCACTCTAACCATAAGAAACCTGGCTCCCATTCGCTATCATCAGTTATTAATTAGATAAGCCCCAATATACATGCATAGTAGTATCATGATTATTAACCTATATTCCTGTGGAGACTACCTTTACCCACTGGAGTAGAGCACTTACGTGATGTTTCTTCTACTTTTATTCTTACACACTGCATTAATTTGCTTGGGCTGGCATATTACTCCTTCAGCCTTTTAGTCATGTTGTTGAATATATTTAAACTAACGTTATATTTTCTTGTAACAGCTTGAATTCATTCCTAAAACCTTTGATCTGTTGATTATTTTTTAAGTTTAAAAGAATTTTTTGCTGGGTCACCTAGGTGGCTCAGTCAGTTAAGTGTCCAACTTCAGCTCAGGTCATGATCTCATGGCTCATGAGTTTGAGTCCCGCGTTGGGCTCTGTGTTGACGTCTCGGAGCCTGGAGCCTGCTTAGGAGCCTGGAACCTGCTTCCGATTCTGTGTCTCCCTCTCTTTCTCTGCCCTTCCCCTGCTCATGCTCCATCTCTCTCTGTCTCTCAAAGATAAATAAACATTAAACAAAAAAATTTTAAAATATTTTTGCAAAAGTGAGGTTACTTTTGTCCCATGAATCTTAATATGTTTTGAACAGTATTTAATAGAATATAGTTACCATTACAATATTATATAGAAAATTTCATTGCTCTAAAAAATCCTCCATTCATTCTTCATACCTTCCTCCCAAGTCCCTGCAAATCCCTGATATTTTATTTGTCTTGTACTTGTGATGTCTTTTCCCCCATTTTATCTCATTTTATTTCCCCATTTTTTTCCTTCTCAAATTTTAATTGAGCATTTTATATGATTTCATGTTCTCTCTTCTCTTAGCATATGAGTTGCCTGTCTTTAAAAAAATCAGGAGTCTCTAGAGTTTGCCATATACATTTACAGGTAAGTCCACTTCTAAATAACATTAAACCACTTCATGGGTGTTGCAGGCACCTTAAAAAAATCTTTTCCAATTTTCCCAATTTTGTGTTCCCATCTCTTATATGGTCATTCCGTTATCCATGCCCTATAATCACCTAATGCAGTGTTACTATTAGTATTTTGAAAACACAGTTATCTATTAAATCACCTAAGACTAAGAAAAATAAAAGATTATTTCACCTTTGTGTATTCTTTCTCCAACATTCTACCTTCTTTTATGTAGATTCAAGTTTCTAACATGTATCATTTCCTTTCTCTCTAAAAAACTTTTAACATGTCTTGTGAGGCAGTTTTACTGCTGATGGATTGCATCAGTTTTGCTTATATGAGAAAGTTTATATCTTCTTCATATTTGAAGGAGAGTTTCAATGGCTATAGACTTCTACATTGGTATTGGTTTTTGTTTGTTTTTCTTTCAACATTGAAATACTTCCCTCTTGGTTTTTGGTGAAAAGTTTTTCACTTTTCACTACTTTTTATCCTTGTTCTCTACAAATGTTTTTTTTCTCTGGCTTCTTTTGAGAATTTCTCTTTGTGCATTTTTTTGTTTTTGTTTTTGTTTGTTTGTTTTTTGCAGTTTTGAGATGTATGTATGTAAGGAGTAGATTTCTGGTATTTCTTCTACTTGAGGTTTTCTGAATTTCCTTGATCTCTGGTTTGGGGTCTGTTATTGGTTTGGAAAGTCTTTGCCCAGCCTTCTATTCAGAAAATCTAATGAATTTTAGAAAAATATTTATTTATTTAGTTTTGAGACAGAGAGATAGAGAGCGACCAGAGTAGGGGCTGAGAGAGAAGGATAGAGAATCCCAAGTAGGCTCTGCACTGCTAGCACAGAGTCCAATGCAGGGCTTGAACTCACAAATCATGAGATGATGACCTGAGATGAAGCCAAGAGGTGGACGCTTAACCGACTTAATAATTTCTAAAATATCATTTGGCTTTACTGTTTTATTCCTTGTATTTTCATTTATTTTCCCTAATCCATACTCTTTCTTTAAAAATATTTTTTAATGTTTAATGTTTATTTATTTTTGAGAGAGAGAGACATAGTGTGATCAGGGGAGGGACAGAGAGAGAGGGAGACACAGAATCCAAAGCAGGCTCCAGGCTCCGAATGTCAGCACAGAGCCTGATGCAGGGCTCAAAGTCACAAGCCATGAGATCATGACCTGAGCCAAAGTCAGATGCCCAACTGACTGAGCCACCCAGGCGCCCCTCCCCTAACCCATACTCTCGCTCATAGTGTCTTATTGTTGATACATGGATGACATGATCCTCTGTATGACTTAGGGTTGGTTGACAATTCTGAAAGCTTATTTCCTGGTTATATTAAAAGAATGCCGACAAAGGGCAAGATCTTGTATTTGTAAAATTACTGCATATCCTTCATGGTGTACATAATCTTAAATGTAATTAATCTTAAATGTAGTTTAAAATCTCCTCAAATTCTTCATCCACCCTAAACTTGCATCCCCCCAAATCTTGAAGGATAAAAAAAAAAATAAGAGTAGCTCCAAGGCCGTCCAACTTGAACATTGTAGTTTGAGATAGAATAAGCCTGATTTTGATTCAAGTGCATAGAAATCTAGTCTTCTGAACTCATTTGCTTCCATTCCTTTCCAAGCATTGCTAGATATCTGTTTTTGCATCTCAAGGACGAGCCTGGCTGACAAATTGAGGAAAGCCCATCTTTGTTTCTGATTTACAGGGTTGAGGCAAATTCAAGAGGGCCACACATTATTTGATATTCTTCCCATAGTGGCATGGGATCTGATCCAACGCTTCTTGAGACAAGACTGAAGTGCTTGGGTTACGAGTATATAGTGGGTATGTATTGGTTTGAAACCTGGACATTAGGTGGGCTGGTGGTTTTGGCCTTGATTACTTGGAGATTTGAGTTTCCATAGAAGAAATGCAAGTACACCAGTGTAGAGAGGCTATGTAAGGAAAGAGGAGTCCACCGGAGCCCAACCCTCTTAGGTGTCAAGGCTATCGTGGATCTATCAAGCCCAAGTATATACATCAAATGACTCCAGTCAATGCCATATAAAGTGGGATTGGCCAGCCAAGCTTTGACTAGAATCTTAATCCACTAAACATAATAACAATGTTGCTTTTGTTTTGGGTAGTTTGCTATGCAGGCATAGATAACAGAAACTAGGGTAAAAGGAACGTTACTCAAGTTTTGAATGCCCTGCCTTCTTCTACTAAAGAATCTCAGTGAATCCTTCCTTTAATTCTCCTGTCCAGGATTCTACCACAGCAGATGTTAAATGCTGCTAGTGTTACACTTAGTTTTGAGATGTGTTTACTCTTTTCAAGTATATTTAGCTGAATTTGGGTGATATTTTACTTTCCAAAATATATCTATATCTATCTATATCTATCTCTATGTCTATATCATCTACCTTTATATCATCTATATCTATGTCATGTATTTCTATATCTATAACTATATCATCTATATCTATATCTATCTCTGTGGCTCTCTGTGAAGGGAATGTGTACCTTAGTTTACCATATTGATACTGCTATTTTGGAAGATTCTTTGGCAAACATTGGGGAGATTTTTCTTCCTTATAGAGTGTTAATTATTTAATTTCTATAACTTTAAACAAGGAAGTAAGAAATTTAAAAGACAAATATTGTCAATATTTATTTTATTTGAATAGAGCCTGTATGTGTTACTCAAGATAAAAACATTTAGAAGATATTGCACCCAGTGTCCTTTCATCTTTGAGGATGTACCTTTCTTCCCATATTGTCAATGCAAAATGAAACTTTTAGAATTTCTTTTAAAAAGTTTTATTTGAGCCCAATTTAGAACAGCTGCCCAGGATATATAATCTTCACAGCAAAGAGTACTCCGGCAAAGGAGCATTTGCTGTAGGGTTAAAGATACTTTTTACCTAGCAAGCTGCAAATTATTAGACAAAGGACATTTCAGAAAGCTACAGACCTTAAGTTTGCAGTATATGCAGGGTTGTATGATTTTAATGGGAACCAGGAATGTTTCTTCCTTTTTCTTATCTTTTGTGTAATTTTCTTAAATGAAGTAGATGTACAATGTGTGCTTGGGGCAGAAATAAAGCCTGTGCTTTGAGGTTTGGCGGAGTCATCTTGACCTTGGTAAATGATAAAGTATAGCTTCCCCAGAAGCCCAGAGCAGGGTCCATAAACATTGGAAGTTGAGAATTTCCTTTCTCAATATGAACTCAAAGTTCTCAACAATGAAGGGTCATCTTATGAAGGGCACTAAGAGAGGCCTTCAGTCACATTTACGTTCCAAGTGTATGACCTGATTATTTCTCCTGTTTAGTCATGGTGGGTGACTAGGATAACACCACCCACAACATCTTCCTCTGCAGCACGGTGTCATATCAGATTTCTCTATTCTCTTAGATGAAAGTATTAAGAAGACATCATTTCTCAGGGCAGAGGCCATCATATCTCACATAGCAGAAGAATTCTTACTTCTCTTCCTGTCACTGCTCCTTTGGGGACTGGAAGGAACCAGCACATGTGGATATATTATATCACGATTAACGAGAATTGAACAAGTACTTTTCCAGTTGAAGTAAACTTTGTTAAAACGTTATTGCCAAGCATCTTGATCGAAGTGGCAGGAATTTCCAAGAGTCTCCTGGTGGGAGAGAATTATCTTTCTAAAGTTCACTTCTCTGAACATCACACTGCTTTAATTGGCCCACAGAGTAAAAATATGTCTTCAAGCTTCACTATTAGCTGACTTGACCTGGCAGGAATTTGCCCTGCTGAACTTACCTCTATCATGTCGTAAAATCTTCTTCTAAACATACAAAATATTTTCCAGCAGTTTATTAAAATTTCCAAAACTCTATACTTTTTACAACTTGTTATCTTTACTTTGTTTTTTTTCTATATGCCTAGGAAGTGAGTGCTCAATCATCCAGAATTCAGAGAGGTATAATACACTTGGAAGCACATTTTCATTCATGTATATTTTAGGATATCCTCCTCCATATTTCACATACACATAAACAATATAGGTTATGTGTATTCTTACTATTAGACCTGTCATGATATTTTGTGATATTGGAATTTTTTGCTGGTGTCTTAAAATTTTGTAAATTTTTTAAGAACAGGAATACATTTTTTCAACTTTGAAAATATATAGAGATACCTAGCACCTAAAGTTTAGATACACACTTTTGAGAATTTATTATTGTTCTCATTGTATAATTGTACCTCAAATATTTTTATTAAAGTTAATAGCATTTTAGACAAGTTGTAATCCTCTTTATTAACTCTTGCAATTAAATACCCTTCCATCTTTCAATATAACCTACTGTATCCTAGATTTAGTGTATCCTTCCATATGAAAAAATTCCAGATGTTTATTGTCTTTACATACACACACACACACGCACATGCACACACACTTCTGGGTGTAAACTCTAAGTAAACTTTTGTCCAGTGATACACAAAGAGTCACAGAGAAGAATGTTTGTCACAGTGTTTGTGGGGAAAAATGTTTTTCGAAAGCTAAGTGGTTTTATATAAGTGAATGAACAAGAGAACTCTGAAATGTACACACATTCATAATACAATTAAATGGGATTAACTGAGACCACATACCAATAGATAATCTTAAAACATAATATTGAGTGAAAATATGACAACTGTATTCATAATATAGGATGATTAATGTAAATTTAAAACACACAAAACCCTGATAGATGTTCTAAATGGATAAACACACATGAAAACAAATATTTGGAAGATGGACTGGAATTACACACACTGAACACACAAAACAATAGGTGGCAATGAAATGAAGTCAATGCACCATGTTAGGAAACAATGAAGAATAACTGATAATGTAATAAAAGGAGGAACATTATATAAGATAATAATTCAATGATACAGTGCATTGTGGGCTAAAATCACCTCCATGCTATGCTCCTGATTTCCTTCTAATCACTCCTAGAAAGAAAAGAAGATTTAATTTGTCTAGATGTTTTGATTCTGACAAATCTAAAATTATGTAAAAAAAATTAGATAGGCCAGACATTACATTTTATGCATATTATATACAATTCCAAAGATATTTTCAAAAATTCATATTATATAATGTTGTTCACAACAAGGATGCTCTACAATGAATCAATATAACTAAGAAGAATTAAAATATGTGAGAGTGATTAAAAAGAATGTGCAAAGACCGATGGGAAGGAAAACAAGGACATTAGCATTTAGGGCCGTTCGGTATTTCAGCTGTCTGTTTTAACAATATGCAAATATATAGCAGCAATTTTACCATTTTTCTCAGAGGAAAACAGTCCTACTTTGTATTCTTAATAAACACAAACTCATTTTCTCTTACCCTTGAAACAAGAGTGTGATAATCTCAGTCATCATCATTATCATCATCATAATCCTTTTATGTAGGATTTTTGTAGGGAGTCTATAGGGTGCAGTCTATTTAAAGAAGGTATGATTGTATAGAAGTGTGAAATTAGAGAGCATTAAAAACACATGACCAATACCCTTAGGCGTTTCTTTTCTGGATTAGATAAAACAGAAGCAAGAGCATCAGTATCATATGGCTGTCATTCTCACTGTCTATAATGAAGCCTTCATTCGAGTCCCTCCTCTACCTATTCCAGGGTCCCCCTATACTCCATGAAACCAAACAGGGATCAAAGTTCTAAGCTGTGAGACCTATCTGAAGTTAATGGAGAAATGACAAAAATGTCAATTCTGAGATAACCTCAGAAAAGGTCTCTCCAGGATTGCTCATCCTAGAGTCCAGAAAATGATGATCATGTATGTGTCATGAGCACTTCCTGTGAACCTCTGGTGTGCTAAGCCCATTACCCAGGCCATCTCACATAACCCTTTAACTCCCACAACAGCCATTAGAGACTGTTACTGTTATCGCTTCCATTTTTTATGAAACTAAAGTTTAGAGAAATTAAGTACACTGATCATGTCACATCGTATAACTGGTAACTAGTAACTAGCAAAGTCAAAAGGACATTTGTCTATCTGCCTCAAAAGTAAACACTCTAAATTCTTATACCAAAATGAAGAACATAGTGAGTGAAGAAATTACTTACCAGTGTAAGCCATATCAGAAGCCAGTTCTATAACAGTTTTTATTACAAAGGATGTTTATTGAGTATAATGTAATAAACAGAATGTAATAAACTGTACGTCCATCATCTACTACACTCCTCATAATTATTGTATTGGTCATGTATAAATATCCTCAGTGAAAAAATGAGAAACCCAGGAAAGCCAATTCTCTACAATATCTTCCTGAAAATAGAAACAGAAATAACTCTTAACTTATTCTATAAGGGAAACAGTACCTTGGTACATAAACAACCCAAAGATATTACAAAACTGTAGATCAATAATTTTTATGAACATAGCTTTAAAATTCCTCAAAAAATATTAGCAAATTGAAACTAACAACACATAAAAAGAATTACACAGCATAACCAAGCTGGATTTTTCCAGATATTCAAATCTGGTTCAATATTTGAAACTGAAGTAATGTAATTCATCATATCAACAGACTGGAGAAAACTCATATGACCATAGCAATAGATGGAGAAAAAATATTTGACAGACTTCAACAGCCATTGATAATGAAAACTCTCAGTAAACTAGGAAGGTAGGGGCACTTATGCAATTTGATAAAGAATATCTATACAAAAACTATATCTAACATCATACTTAATGCTGAGAAATGACATGCTTTTCTTACAAGTTTGGGAACTGCTCTGTGAAAGAAATTGTTAAGAGAATTAAAAGAACCCATGGACAGGGAGAAAGTATGTGCAAGACACACATGTAAAGGATTTGCATTAAAAAAAATTTACAGCTCAAAAATAGGAAAACAAGCAAACATGAAAAAGTGGGCCAAAGATATTAACAATTTCCAGGGGCTCCTGTGTGGCTCAGCTGGTTGAGCGTCCAACTTCAATTCAGGTCATGATCTCGTGTTCATGGGTTCAAACACCATGCTGACAGCTTGGATCCTAGAGCCTGCTTTGGATTCTGTGTCTCCTCTCACTGCCCCTCCCCTGCTCATGCTCTGTTTCTCTCTGTTTCTCAAAAAATAAAGTAAAATGTTAACAATTTTTAAAAAATTGAACATTCCTTACCACATATATATGGATAGAAAATAAGCATATGGAAACATGTTCAACATCATATGTCATTAAAGAATTGCAAACTAAACTAAAATATCACCACATGCCTATTAGAATGGCTAGAAGCCAAAATACTGACAACACCAAATTCCAACAAGGATGTGGAGCGGCAGGAACTCTGATTCATTGCTGACAGAAATAGGAAATGGTGCAGACATTTTAGAAAGCAATTTGGCAGTTTCTTACAATTCTAAACTTAGTCTTATCATATGACCCCACACATCATTCTTAGGTATTTAGCCAAATGAATTTAAAAAATATATTTATGTATTTTATATGTTTGTATATTATATGTAAAAACATGCATATTAATATTTATAGCTGCTATATCGTCATTGCCAAAAAAGTGGAAGCAGCCAGAATTCCCTTTGATGGGTACATGAATAAACAAACTGGGTTGTTTTCACACAATGGAATATTATTCAGTGATAAAAAGAAATGAGATCTCAGGCCATGAAAAGACATGGAGGAACCTTAAATGTATATTGCTACAGGAAAGCAACTAGTGTGAAAGGTTGCATATGGTATGATTTTAATTACATGACATTCTAGAAAAGAGTAACCGTGAAGACAGTAAAAAGCTATTGACATGAGGGACAGTAGGAAGGATGAATAGATGAAACCTTGGGGACTTCTGGGGCAGGAAAACTATTCTATATGATACTGTAATGGTGGATACATGACATGATGCATTTCTATAAACCCACACAAAGAATGGAACTTAATATAAATGGATTTTAGTTTAAAAATAATGTATAAATGGGCTTCTGGGTGACTCCGTCAGTTACGAGTCCAACTTCGGCTCAGGTCATGATTTCACAGTTCATGGGTTTGAGCCCTGAGTCGGGCTCTGTGCTGACAGCTCAGAGCTTGGAGCTTGCTTTGAATTCTGTGTCTTCCTCTTTCTCTGCCCCTCCCCCACTCATGCTCTGTCTCTTTTTCTCTCTCAAAAATAAAATAAACATTAAAAATATTTTTTAATGTGTAGAAATATGTGAGGGATATTAAGAGCACACTTATCATGATGAGCACTGAGTAACGTAAAGAATTGTTGAATCACTATATTGTACACCTGAAACTAATATAACGCTGTATATTAATTATACTGGAATTTAAAAATAATAAAAAATTAATTAAAAGAAAAAAGAATAATGTAGAAATATCAGTTCATCAATTATAATAAATTAATCACACTAATGGGAGATATTAAAAATAAGGGAACTTTGTGGGAGGGAGAAGGGTCATAGGGGGACTTTCTGCTCAATTTTTCCATAAAATTAACACTGCTGCAAAAAGTCTTTTAATTAAAAAAAATACTAAATGTGAACAACTCACAATATGACGTGATTAGTTAGTTAATTTTCTGAAAGTCGGGTAGCAAGTTGGGGAAAGACTACAATGCCATGTGCCCACCTGTTCCATTAACCAAGGGCTGATAGCTAAGCACTAGCTCACATGGGTTAAAGAGCTCCAAGTTCCTCCACATCTTGCTGCTTACCCTCACTAGTCCTTAGTACTCATTATTGTCTTGTTTTTTAGGGCAAAACATCACATTGCAC